TTGCCAAAGGAGATGCTTCTTTCATCTTGCAACTACTGGTTCTTTGAAGAGGGAGCTCCCATAAGACCATCCTGGCAAGACATGGGACTGCCTCTTCCGCTGCAGCGGGTTCGGCTGTCCGACATGCTAGATGGTTCCTTTCGTCTGGTTCCCAAGTTGGAATTCTTGTGTGTGACTGTCTTATCTAACAAAAGCAGGAGTTTGTAGGTAGACACCTTGGTTGTGTTTCCATATAAAGTTATAATCTACTTCACTGGAGGAAGTTGCTAAGGGTAATTCAACGTTGTTAGCTTTATCTTGTCCTCTTTATTGCTAGTTTTATGTAGCCGAGCTATCTTAGTGTTGGGTCCCTTAATATGAACCGTCGCATGACTTGCTTAATGTGGGAATAATGTTGGTATTACTGGAATTAGACATGGTTAACTTCTGATACATTTTAAATGAGTTGTAATTGTTAAAGTGCCAATGTTATATTGCAGTGTACTTTTATTTGCTATGGTTATTGTACTTAAATTGTCTTTTCTGCAAACTGCTTTGAGCACATGAAATCTGTGGAAAATGTGGTATATAAATAGTGCTTATGCATAAGATGGAAACAGGGGGAGAAAAGTGGCAGAGGGCTTCCAGGGAGGCAGGTACTCTGACAAAAATCTTTACTGTGAACTGCATGGAACTAAAACGATACTGAACCAAGGATTCCCAGCTTAATTTCTATTATAACGTCCATTTCCCCTTTTCTTAGCTGGAGCCTGGCTATTTCCATAGTGTACTCAGGGAACAGAGAAAGCAGGTGCTTCTGTGAGTCTCGTATTCTTAAAACTAAACCTCTACGAGACCATTTCCAAACAGATTATACTCACACAGAACAAAAGCCACTGAAACAGTAGCAGCAAAATCTGATTACTGTCCTCTTGAACACTGGGGCTCTTAGAGAACTGTGCTTGGCATCTCACTGTTTGTTCACCGGTATCTTACATGTGTGTTCCTTTTTCACAATGAAATTATGCTGAAGGAAAAGCATATAAATGTACCTGAGGGAAAATTACTGGCTTGCCATCCACACACCAAATAATATGTCTGCTTGGACTTGCTAAAATGGACCTTCTTTCACTGTTCTTCAGCTAAAAACCAATATTTTAAGGGGTCTTTTTCTGCCAGATTGCACAGTCTATGTAACATATGCTAAAGTTCCTGCAAAGTCATTCATTCCTTAACAGTCCAAAGGGGGAACCAATGAAGAAATACAAATCACAGCCTGGCATCAGAGACGTTATGGACAAACTCCTTCTTGATGAAAAGCCCAAACAGTATTAAAATTCCATAGCATCACATTTGTGAATACACCCTGGGCCACTGGAAAAAATTGCACATAGGATACCATCTGCTTCTATCTGCAGAACAGCAAACACGAAGTAACATGCCTGAGACATGTGCCAGGAAGAAAACAAGGACGGCAACCCACAAAGAGAGACAATGAACGAAAATACCTGTAAGAAAGAACTGGGAGATTTTTCAGGTAGGAGAGAAAAGCAATGCCCATTATGTGTAATATCAAGTGCCGCGCCAGAGAAGAATGCTGGCAAGTAACACCTGACATGACACCTACCCTGCTTTATAGCACAGGGGACAGAAAATCCATAAGAGCAGGCTGAAAATGAAAGCGCTAATCCTGTGCTTAGATTGCATGATTCCAAAGATTTTCTTCTATTACCCAAACACACAGGCATGAACTCGCTTCCTTTTCCGTTGTCCCTACATATTTTTCTTGTTTCATTGGTGAGACACAAAGAAAGGAAGTGCCCACATATTCTTGTACCTGTAATTGCAGGAAATAATGAATATTTAAATGCAATTAAGAATACGCAGGGAGGCAGCTAGGAGTTGTGGGTTTGCAGATCTGGGACACCAGTGGCAAACCATAGAAGACTATTAATTAACCTTGGAATGTATACAAATACTACACGGTATTTGATTATTTTACTTTTTTCGGATCAGTATTATTAAAAAGGATTGGATTTCAGCCAGTGAGAGACATTCCATACGTTATGCACAATACGATTGAGATTAGGGAATCTGGAACGATCATACTTCAGCATTTGGGCAGGGCCTTGTGTTTTTGAATGCTTTCACATGTTAAGGAGCCCTGTATAAATTAGCACAGTGGGTCACTAGCACAACCTGCTGTGTTTTTTCCTTCACAGAATGCAGAGAAAGCTTTGCTTGTTTTGGGGGGAGCCCACAAAAATACAACATGCAACTGAAGTAGCACCAGCCAGAATTCTACTGCCTCATTTGACCTTCCATATAGAACAACCCTCCATGAACGGCAGCCTTTTTCCAAAAATATTCAAGTTGTTAGTATGTTCCCTCTTCCATCATACCCGAGGTAGCCTACATCTGTCCTGTGAGAACAATTGTCTATTACTGTCTTCTTCTGCAAAGGCCAATGTGCAGGAGATTGGTGGCATGCTTTGAACCCACTGGCGTTGGGAGCAGGCAGGATGACGGACTTGGGCAATGATTCCCACAGACTGTTGGCTGCATCCCAGACGACAATTTAGAATTGGACAGTAAAGAATATCTCAGTGTGACTGCAGCAGATGGGATAGCTCAAGATTTTGGGATGCAGGAGGAGGAGGAGGAGATTATCTCAAGGCCAGGTGCTTTGCCAAGCCAGGCAGTTCCTGGAAATTGCCGAGCTGCACAGCTAGCAGGAAAGGTCTCTGGGGATGAGAAATTCTCCAGTGCAGCCAGGCCGCTGCGATCAAGCCCGTGGCATGGCATCAGCAGAGACAGGAGGCCCATTCGAATGAGCAGCATGTGGAGAGGAGGCGTGCCCCCTTCAGAGAGCCCCTTCCAAGGGTACGGGGCCCTGGCATGCAGGGTTCCTAGACTGGGGTCAACAGTCCGCTCTGTGCATGCTCGGAGATCTGTTCCGGATGATTTGCACTTGGCAGCAATGAAGAGAGTCGCAAGGAAGTGGTCTGTGGCGGGTGATTGTTTGAAGGGAGAACCTTGGTTCGTGGCAACTGGGGTACATCCTGTTGGTCAGAAGTGGTCCGTGTCGTCCACTCGTGCCCAACCTGGGCAGATCCCCACTGTTGATGGTACCCCCACTCTCTGAACTAACCCACGGCTGCATCATCAACCCATAACTTCTAACTTGTAATGAGCGATGTATCATTTGTGTGGGTCTGCGGTGAAAAGTGTCGCCAAGCCTTCATTCGGCCTAGCCTTCCTGCAGCCCTTCGAGGTATGCCCTTGTCCTTTCTTTTTTCTTTCGACGCAGTGGATGCAAAGCAAGAGCTCGTGATTTGCTCCAAGTGGCCTAACGAGTCTATGGGCAGCTAGAAGCAGAGACCTGCATTCAGGCCGGAAGCTGGCCATCTGAATCGTGGGCACCCCTAAATGATTAGACCGGTCTAGCGAAAGGGAAGGTGCTCTGACTCGTGTCCTCACTTCCTGCGCTGTGTCTTGTTGCTTTGTGTGCTTACAGCTACAAAGCTGAGTGAAGTTCATGTATCTGATATGCACAGAGACCTTGTCTATGGCAGATTACAGTGCCATCAGCCAAAATCATTGGATTTGTCTGACAGCGTGTGAGAGTTCAGAAAATCCCTTCGTACTCTCCAGGATTATCGAAGCAATTTCTGTAGCATGTTATCAGATCTCTGCTGAGCTGCTTACAGATTTTTAGAGGCGAATTACTGTATTTTCCAATTGACAGTGTCATCCTTATTTCCACAAACAGAGTCCTGCCAACCCCGATACTCTGGATTATATTGGAAAGCCACTCAAAACTGCATGGACAAGCCCACCTTTCTAGACACTGAATACCAAGGTTGCATTTAGATTCTGGAGTTTGTCTGCCGAGAATGGCCAGAGAAACAACGACGTGACTGAAGTACGCAGCACAGCGCAGTGCGACAAAAGGCCATGGACCCCGCAGCAGACCAGACATACAACCCAGAAAGTCAAGATCTAGTATATTTACGTACATGCACCTTAGGCCTTTCCATTTGCCATGAAATTCTGTGTATCCGAAGGAGAAGACCCTCCACTGAGATGTCCTCATGTACTCACATGAACCTCCCTTGCTTGGCTGCATCTAGCAGAGGAGTTGTGTGGCAGTTGCGTGTGATAAAGGAAGAGGCACGGGGAGGAAAGTGTAAAGGGGTTAGAAGTGGGGGAAGACCGAAAGGCACGAAGGGAGGCGGCCTCCTTGGAATGCGACGCTTCCCCTTCTGTCTTCTTGGAGTTGCGGCTTCTCCAAACGGTGCCACCACCGCCGCCCTGGTTCCTTTCTTCATCCCTTCCCCTCTCCCCGCTGCCAATGGCAGGACTCCAGAGCTTCCATGCAGATGATGGGACAGACACAGATGAAAGCAGCTAAACAGGGGGGATTAGTGGGGGAAGCCTTGTCCACCCCATGTCCTGGCTGACAGCAGCAGTTGAGGGGGGGCAGGGAGATATCCTCAAAATGCACCTAATGCGCTGGATTTTAGAAGAAAGGAAAGAATATGCTTTCAGTGGCGCATGCCCTGATGGTGACGAAGGGCAGAGGAGGAGGAGCATGCAGGGAGCGTGGAGCCATTTAACTGTGCTCTGGTGCTAACGAGCCCCGATGGTGAGATTGCATTAGAGTTCGTAGAGGTGGTTTCCATGACAACAGACACAGCCCAAATGCCAGAGGAGTGCCAGGGCTACCTATCTGCAGCTCCTGCAGCGAACATCAGGGAAGTCGGCCCTGGCATTTTAAGCTCGACGTAATGCCATGCGCAGCAGCCCGCGCAGCAGATGGGCGCTTCCAGTCAGATTCCCCAGGTGCATCAGAGAAAGGCAGCACGTGCCGGGGGAAAGCACTGTTCTTTTCAGAAGCCTATCTGAACCTCCTGCAGAGAAGAGAGGGCCAGCAGCTTCACAGTGGGGCGAAACAGCTCGAGAGAAAGTGAGAACAGGCCAAGGGCACCAATGGGCGAGGCCGGTTTTGCCACACTTACTGTTCTCGGATAGTTCGACGATGTAGTGAAGAACGGGGCTGTTTCCATCAAAGGGACGCACCCAGGAGAGGATCACGCTGCGGCTGAAGGAAGAGTTCAGCGTAGCCAGAAGGTTCTGAGGGGGGTGAGGCAGTTCTCTACGAGAAGACCAACAGCAGAATATCACGAAAACAGAAACAAACCACAGGAGTCGGCACATTATTACTTAGGACGTTTACGAGCAGTCAACACTTCAGATGGGCACCATGATGGATACAAATGCCCCAGCTAATAGAACCGTGGAAAGAAAAATAAAATCTCCAAAGGAAGGTCGAATTTTGTCTGGTTTCTAAAGGATAATTTATGTGGAGATTCCTGAGGTTGACACTTAAACAGCTAATGGCACTGTTACTTAACATGGGAAAAAAGCCAATTTTCAACTTTGTTTTTTTAATTGAGACAACTTGGTCCATAAATTTCTTTTATAGCAAGTTCCTAGTAATGGAATAGCTGTAAAACATAGGACTAGGAGACCAAAGTGGGGGAAGGACAGGTGATTTAGAGAGGAATCTTTCATACGAAGGCACGCAGGGTATGCTGCCGTCCGTGCCGAATTCCCAACCAAATGCCTGCGTGCTCAGAAGCTCATGTGCGGATTGGTGGACCCTTTCCGTAATGGGTAATTAGAAACGCACATGCATTCCCCAAGCAGAACAGGGGGACCTGCCTGCAAGAAATCACAGAGCAATTATACATTGAGTGCTGGAAAACTGAAGAAAGCGTAAGCTTCAGAAACACACAGCTTTTCTGAAGCATGCGAGTTATAGAAGGCAAGTCCCTGCAATGACTGGGCAAACGGTGTGCAGCACATGTGGTCTTTTCAAGTTACGGTCAGAATACAGAAGCCGAAGCAGCTGCCTTTCAGTGAGTCAGACCAGCCACCTGCAGATTGGCAGTGAACGGCTCTCCGGGGTCTTTGCCAGTGCTACCCAGCAATGTCAGGGACTGACCCTGAGCCCCCTTGTCGTCACAGCCATGGGGCACACTGCTTCAGATAAAGGGATCATCCGGATAATCCCATTGTGCCACCTGGCTTAGCATCCTCTACATGGGATGGAGGCAGGGCCTTTCCCAGACCTACCTGGGGATGCTGGGAATGGAACCTGGCACCGTCTCCCTACCAAGCACGGGCGCAGCCCACACACTCCCCCCGAGAATGAGTCCAGCCATCGATGAGCCGCCAACACTCCATGCTAGGCTGATACGTGCCAGCGGATTGAGTCAAGCACGGGGCTGGCCTTGAGCAACGCAATAAAGTGGAATGAAGACAGCTGGCCGTGGTAGGGGAGGGTGGCTGCTTTCTCGGGTGGTGGGGAAGGGGGAAGGAGTGCTGGATTTTCTGCGTAAGAAGGTCTCGAGTTAGGCCTGCGTATAGCTAGCAAACCTGGGGTTTTCTTGGCAGTTCTGATCAGAGCGGAGCCCAGATCTATCACTCAGCAATGGGGAAATGCAACAAAGCCAGCCATTTCTCACTGGCTGCTTGCTGGAAGTTCTCTCTCAATATCAATTATTGCTGACCCTTGCTGGTCAGGCCAAAAAGCAGTAATTGTACTTGACATTCCTTAATTAAAAAATGTACTCATTTCTTTTCATAATTTATTAAGCTGCTGCACACTTATCTCTGTCGAAAACCACAACAAGTCCACATTCATAAACAATCACGATTCCAGCCCTGGGATGTGGTTTTAAATCAGAGCTGTAAAAAGCATGCTCTGAATTTCATCTCCATTCCTGTGGTTGATGTGAACAGAGGAGAAATGAATTTAATTCTTTATTAAGTTTGAAGCATCGCCCATAGTTTATTGCAACCCGTACCAGGCTATAACCTGAACTGAAAAACAGTTTTAAAATGGGATTGGTGGAAGTGATTACAGAAAGGGGAAAGGGCTGCTTGGACACTGTTTAATAAATGCCAGATCAGAGGGGGCTGTCTTTCTCCAGACTCAAGCAACAGATGCTGCAGAGGAATTCTACAACAGGACAAAAATAATAGAGATGACCCTACAAACTGTGGGGACAGAGGCAAAATAAATGGAAATCCAGGAATATGGGAAATTACACTTTCTCAAGCTGTATTCTGTCCAGACCCAAGGTATGTACTAGGATTGTACCAAATGATTGTCTGCTTTGGGTTTTGGTGCAAACATGCTGTTTTAGCTCACCTTCACCCTTAAATGTTTTCTTTTGTTTTCCCTGCTACTCAACAACGGATGGTCTCTGAACAGCATAGAACAATTCATAATATACAAAAATATAGATAACACTCAAATTGTAGAATTTCATTACAGAGGTTTTTAAAAGGGACTTGAACAACTAAGACCAATTAAACTAAGACTACTAGGCCTATTAGAAAGAGCTGACATAATCCACCCCTACATATGTACTCTTCAGAGCTGTTAAATGCCTTGGCACTGAAGGCAGACTTGACCTACTGCTGAACGCAACGATGGTGCCATATGGGTCCCAGGGCGGGGGGAGACTGCCCCATAATGGGGGCTTCCAGAGACAGGGACCTCTTGTTTCCATCAGCCAACCCTTGAAGAAGATATTAGGAGGAAGGACCCAGACGTTGAATGTACTGTCCAAGAAGATGGTGGCTGGCAGAAATGCTTCGTCAGGTATCCCTGTCCCAAGTGGTGGAGTGAGAGTGTTCATTTTATTCGGGCCTGTTGCTGCCATTTGTTCTCCTAATCTATCACTATTTCAGCACATTTCCTTCCTGGCTGCAGCTTCTTTTACCCTCCTCCTCAAAACGGACAAGATGTTGTCTCCAAGAGCAGATTACATTGAGGTATAATGGAGCGAAACTTAACGGACTGTCACACAGAGAGAATCTCGACGGTCAAGAAACATGAATTGATGACATCACTGGGGGCAAACTAAACTAGCTCAGGGCAATTCTCCTCCGTAAGTGGCACGTTTCATTTCCTTGCTACTCTCTGAAGAAAACATTTGAAGGGGCGGAAGATGACATTTAGACTATTATGAAAATTGTAAAACTCCTCACACTGCCATCTCAGCCCTTTTTATGGTGTTTATATTTGTACTGTTGTGCTGATGGCAGCCTGTGTTGATTTTCGTTTACTCCCATTGTATTAATTATGGATTTTTGTATTTGTGTCTGTAAGTCACATTGAGAAGTCACTTTTTTGCAGTAGGAAGTGATGCAGTAATTTCATTAATAATAAAAAGAATAATCATCTCTGTGGTTGTACTACAGAGAAGTCAGTTTCTGCGTTGACTGGTTGGGGCTGGTTTTTTTCTACCATTTTAGAAGTGCCTGAAGTTACTTTGCAGATACTGGAAACTGAGCTGTTAAGCAAGGCGAGGCCCATGTGCCTGACCTTTTGCTTAAGTAAAAAGTTGATCTAGAAGGAAATTGTTTCTGCCAATTTCAGATTCTTGTCTTTAGTGGAAGTGTAGAGACTCCATGACATCTGAAGCACTGAATGTCAGTCTTGTCTAGGCTCATTAGGAAAAGAGGCTTGATCCTTGTTTGCAGAAGCACTGCAGAAGTTAATGTCCCTTTTGGGTCATCATGAGTTTAAATGCAAGTTCTTGTTTAGGATTTGGCTTGGGCTGATTATCTTGCAAGAGTTCCTACAAATTGGAATATTAATGTGCTGGAACATCAATCAATTTTGACTTCTCAGTCTAAAGCGATCTTTAGCACTCTTCATTAATAAAGAGTACACTCATTAAAATGGATATGTTGTAACAAACTCATTTTGTTCCTTACATCAATTGCGCCGTATCAGCACTAGCTCAGAGAGAACACCAAGACAGGCCAGTAGTTAACCGGTGCTCTTGGCTAAATTGCCTCACGCACTAATGTGTAAGGCCATGAAATATATAAGTACAGTGAGCTGTTGCCCTCAGTAATCTGTAACTGCCAGAAATATATGATGCTTACATACTAATATCCCTAGAGGCAAAGCATGCAAGAGTCTCTCTCACTAGAAAGGTTCACAACTGAAGAGGAGTTCTTGCGTGAGAAACTATATTGGCCTCCCGTTTGTACACGAAGGTGGAGATGAACAGTTCTTAATCTTAAATGAACAAATGCTTCTACACTGTGTGAAGGAACAGGGACGTTACTGTGAGTGCAGAGGATGAGAAGCTATGACAAATACACAGTTGCATGTTCATAAATACTATAACGCTCTCCTCTCTAGAAAAGAGTAAGCCTTTTGCCTATGAGACAGTTTGCCTATTCAGTGGATCTCAGAGTAAAGTCAAATGAGCAGACTGGTCAAGTAATATGGTGCACTCCCATCCTGTGGCACAGAAGCAGCATGAACCTCCCTGAAGGCGGTGCTCGCTTTGTTTGGAGGAGAAGGGAGGAGGGGAATTTGGTTCGGAAGCAACTCCAGGTTTGGGCAAAAACTCCGTCCACAATGGGGGAGTATTAACTTGATGGGGGCCTCTTGCTAACATGCATTAAGTTACTCCCCCGCATCGCAAAGTCAGTCCTGGTTGGGCAGCTTCAGCATAATAGAGCTTGTGCAAAGAGGTGAGGGCCACCACCTTAGTTGGCTTGTAAAGGAGACAGGGAATGGATGCAGGACAGTCTATGAATGTCTTCTTGTTTTGCCACGGTAATGATGCTTCTATGCTACTTTCTGGTTTGGAAGACCGTGTTGCTGATCACTGCTGCGTAGAGAACAACGGGGTAGCATGGGAACTGAGATGCAGGCAGTTGGATGTGATGCATCTTTGGTCTCACCCAGCCAAATTCTTCTTAACATTCCCAAACTACACCCCACCCCTTTGCAAAGTAGAAAAATCACCCCCAAAGCACTGCATGGATTGAGCAGCGTTGCAAAATACACCCTTCCCCTCCTGTTTTGGTTCGGCTAATTTGTACAAAGTAATCTTAATTATTTGCCCAATAAATAACCTTAAACCAGTCTCAAATAGTGAAGGTTAATGGCACAGCTTATATGTTATTTACTGTGCTATCTCTTTTGCCACAACCGTGTCAGATCTGGAAGAAGATACACAGAGGGCACAAATACCCTTATGTTTAAGAAACAGTTCATAATTGCCGGAGGGCAGCGGAAAAAATTTACTCAGCAAACATCCACAGAATAGCTCA